GGGACCTCCTGGGACCATCAGGGACCTCCTGGGACACCCGGGGACCTCATGGGACCTTCTGGGACACCCGGGGACCTCCAGGGACCCCCAGAAACCACGCGGGATCCCCGGGGACCTCGTGGGACCTCCTGGGACATCCGGGGACCTCATGGGACCATCAGGGACCTCGTGGGACCTCGTGGGACCCCCAGGGACCTCCTGGGGGAGCCGGGGACCTCCTGGGACCTTCTGGGAACCCTAGGGACCTCGTGGGACACCCGGGGACCTCCTGGGACCTTCTGGGACATCTGGGGACCTCATGGGACCTTCTGGGACCCCCAGGGACCTCATGGGACACCCAGGGACACCCGGGGACCTCCTGGGACCACCAGGGACCTCCTGGGACACCCGGGGACCTCGTGGGACTGCCAGGGACACCCGGGGACCTCCTGGGACATCCGGGGACCTCAGGGGACCTTCTGAAAGCCCCAGGAACTTCATGGGACACCTGGGGACCTCCTGGGACCATCAGGGACCTCCTGGGACACCCGGGGACCTCATGGGACCTTCTGGGACACCCGGGGACCTCCAGGGACCCCCAGAAACCACGCGGGATCCCCGGGGACCTCGTGGGACCTCCTGGGACATCCGGGGACCTCATGGGACCATCAGGGACCTCGTGGGACCTGCTGGGACCCCCGGGGACCTCGTGGGACCTCCTGGGACATCCGGGGACCTCATGGGACCATCAGGGACCTCGTGGGACCTGCTGGGACCCCCGGGGACCTCGTGGGACCTCCTGGGACATCCGGGGACCTCATGGGACCATCAGGGACCTCGTGGGACCTGCTGGGACCCCCGGGGACCTCGTGGGACCTCCTGGGACATCCGGGGACCTCATGGGACCATCAGGGACCTCGTGGGACCTGCTGGGACCCCCAGGGACCTCGTGGGACCTCCTGGAACCCCCAGGAACCTCATGGGACACCCAGGGACTTCCTCGCACCCCTGGGGACCTCCGGGGACCCCCAGGGATCTCCTGGGACACCCGGGGACCTCGTGGGACATCCGGGGACCTCCTGGGAACCTCCTGGGACACCCGGGGACCTCCTGCGACTGCCAGGGACACCCGGGGACCTCTTGGGGGAGCCGGGGACCTCGTGGGACACCCGGGGACCTCCAGGGACCTCCTGGGACCCCCAAGGACCTCCTGGGCCCCCCGGGCCCCCCGAGAGGACCATACCTGGGGCTTGCCCACGCTCCTCTTGACCTTGCTGAGGGTCTTGCGGTTGTAGGGCTCCCCGGCCGGGCGCAGCTTGACCAGCGACTCGCCGGGCTCGGCGTGCAGCTGGGGGAAGGTGTGCAGGGCCTCCTGGGGGGACGGCCGCGTCACCCGCGGGCCGGGGACACCGCCCGGGAGCCACCCGGGCGGCTCATCATCTATGGGGCTCCTGGGGATGCCCAGGGCACCCAATGTCATCTAGGGACATCCATGGGGCACCCACGCAGCACCCAACATCATCTATGGGACTCCAGAAGGTGCTCATGGTGCCCAACGTCATCTAGGGGCACCCAGGAGCCACCCACACAGCACCCAACATCACCTATGGGCCTCCAGAAGGTGCTCATGGTGCCCAACGTCATCTAGGGACATCCATGGGGCACCCACGCAGCACCCAACATCATCTATGGGACTCCAGAAGGTGCTCATGGTGCCCAACGTCATCTAGAAACACCCATTGGGCACCCATGCAGCACCCAACATCATCTATGGGGCTCCTGAGGACACCCAGGGCACCTAATGTCATCTAGAGACACTCAGAAGCCACCCACGCAGCACCCAACATCACCTATGGGCCTCCAGAAGGTATTCATGGTGCCCAATGTCATCTAGGGACATCCATGGGGCACCCATGCAGCACCCAACATCATCTATGGGCCTCCAGAAGGTGCTCATG